GCTAGAATTCATCCCGACCACCACTCCCCCATTATTCCCTTCAGTCCTACCGCCGCCCTCCCCTCCCCCCCCTAGTGAATGGGTTTATACCTATGACGCACCCTGGCCGGCTACAACGTTGACGCATGCGTGCGTGTGTGTGTGCGTGCGTTCTTGCGTGTGTGTGTGTGCGTGCGTGCGTGCGTGCGTGTGTGCGTGCGTGCGTTATTGCGTGTGTGTGTGTGCGTGCGTGCGTGCGTGCGTGCGTCCTTGCGTGTGTGTGTGTGTGCGTGTGTGCGTGCATGCGTGCGTCTGTGCGTGCGTGCGTGCGTGCGTGCGCGAAGCATCATTGACCGGTGACTCAGCCTACTGCTGTTACTCCTGATGCTGTTACTGCTGCTGCTGTTACTCCTGATGCTGTTACTGCTGCTGCTGTTACTGCTGCTGCTGTTACTGCTGCTGATGCTGATGCTACAGATTCTTTCATGATATTGATTTTTCTCTCGCAGTGGTGACTCATTCACTCACTCACTCAGCCCCACAGGTGCTGTTACTACTGCTGCTGTTGCTGCCACTGCTGCTGTTGCTGTTGCTGTTACTGCTGTTGCTGTTGCGGCTACTGCTACTATATGTACTAATATGAATATATATGATTTATATGAACTGTAAATATAAATTTGCCAATCATACCTAGTTTACACTTAGTTTGCTGTGTTGAACACTGATTTACATATTATTGTTAATAATAATAATAATAATATTATTATTAATATTATCATTATTATTATCATTATTATTATTATTATTATTGCTATTGCTATTACTACAATTATTATTAGTACTATTATATCCACGGTCCACCACACCTTCTTCCCCCACCCCTCCCCCTTCTGCGCGCGACCTCCCCCCTCTGCGCGCGCACGCACTGACCCCCGCCCATGCTCTCTTGTTTGCAGGAGAACCAGACGCCGCTGCACATCGCCGCGCGCCTCGGCAACGTCGACATCGTTATGCTGCTGCTGCAGCACGGGGCGTCGCCGGATGCGACCACCAACGACCTCTACACCGCCCTTCACATCGCCGCCAAGGAAGGTCAGGAGGAGGTCGCCAACGTGCTGCTGGACCACGGCGCCACCATCGACCTGACGACGAAGGTAAGCGCGCTCGCTTGTTTTCGCGCCAGCGTACAACACAGTCGTACATCACAATATCTTACGGGCGTAACATTGCAATGCCACATCGAATAACACAACATTGCAACACTACATCTAACGGCGTAACATTGCAATGCCACACATGGCAATGTTACGTCGTTCGATGCCGAGCGAGATGTCATGCCGTGGCATCACGCGGCGCGTCGTAGAAGTGTTATATGTTACGCCGTAAGATGTAGCGTTGCAATGTTATGTTATTCGATGTGGCATTGCAATGTTACGCCGTTAGATGTAGTGTTGCAATGTTACGTTATTCGATGTGGCATTGCAATGTTACACCTTGAGATGTAGTGTTGCAATGTTATGTTATTCAAGACAATGTTACGCGGCGCGACGTAGTGCGGCAATGTTACGCGGCGCGACGTAGCGTGGCAATGTTACGCGGCGCGACGTAGCGTGGCAATGTTACGCGGCGTGATGTAGCATGGCAATGTTACGCGGCGTGATGTAGATGCTACATCTAACGACGTAACATTGCCATGCTACGTCGCGCCGCGTAACATTGCCATGCTACGTCGCACCGCGTAACATTGCCATGCTACGTCGTGCCGCGTAACATTGCCATGCTGCGTCGCGCCGCGTAACATTGCCATGCTACGTCGTGCCGCGTAACATTGCCATGCTACGTCGTGCCGCGTAACATTGCCATGCTACGTCTAACGACGTAACATTGCCATGCTACGTCGTGCCGCGTAACATTGCCACGCTACGTCTAACGACGTAACATTGCCATGCTACGTCGCGCCGCGTAACATTGCCACGCTACATCTTTAACGACGTCTCCTCTTCCTCTCTGCAGAAGGGCTTCACGCCGCTCCACCTGGCGGCCAAATACGGAAACATGAAGGTCGCGAAGCTGCTGATACAGCGCGACGCTCCGCTGGACGCGGAGGGCATGAACGGCGTCACGCCCCTACACGTAGCCGCCCACTACGATCACGTGAACGTCGCCCTGCTGCTGCTAGAGAGCGGTGCTTCACCACACTGCGCGGCCAAGGTACGCGGGGGGAGGAGGAGGGAGGGAGGGAGGAGGGAGGGAGGGGAGGAGGGAGGAGGTAGGAAGGAGGAGGAGGACGGCAGGGCTAGGCTGGAGGGAGCGGAATTAATGTCTCGATAAGTTACACCTCACTCCGTCCCCCTTACCTTGGATACGACTGCAGCGCCCCCTGCGTCTCTCCCCCCCTACTGACCGTGGCGCCCCCTGTGTCTCTCCCCCTACTAACCGTGGCGCCACCTGTCATTGCAGAATGGCTACACTCCGCTGCACATCTCCGCCAAGAAGAACCAGATGGACATCGCTACCACGCTGCTGGAGTTCGGCGCGAAGCCGAACGCGGAATCCAAGGCAGGCTTCACGCCGCTGCACCTGGCCTCGCAGGAGGGACACACCGACATGGTCACGCTGCTCATAGAGAACCACGCAGACGTAGACATCAAGGCCAAGGTCAGTGGTCGCCACGGCAACGGTCGCCGCGGCGTCGCAATCGCCGTCGCGTTTACGTTTTGATTGTCGTTCGCGGCTGAGGTCGGCAGACGTTGTTGTTGTTTGTTGTTGTTGTTGTTGTCTTATTGTTATTGTTGTTGTTGTTGTTGTTGTCTTATTGTTATTGTTGTTGTTGTTGTTGTTGTAATCACTGCTTCTTTCGTCAGAATTGTTGTTTGCAGCAGCTGCTGTCATGTGCGAAGCACACATGCACCTGTGTGCTCAGGACAATGTTCCCGTCGTCACGGCAACCGTCGCCACGGCAACCAACTAACTCTTTGTCTCCGCTTGCAGAACGGACTCACGCCCATGCACCTCTGCGCTCAGGAGGACCGCGTCAACGTGGCCACGATCCTGTTCCGCCACGACGCCGAGATCGACCCGTACACTAAAGCCGGCTACACGCCGCTGCACGTCGCCTGCCACTTTGGCCAGATCAACATGATTCGCTTCCTCATCCAGAACGGAGCATCCGTCGACGCAAAGACCGAGGTGAGAGGGAGGAAGGGAGGAGGAGGGCGGGAGGGAGGGGGAGGGAAAAGGGAAGAGGAGGGAGGGAGGGAGGGGGAGGGAAAAGGGAAGAGGAGGGAGGGAGGGAGGGGAAGGGGAGGTAGGAGGGA